GGGGCCTTCGAAACTGTTAGTATGGGGACTGATTTCACACTCTCCTCTGAGAAATATTTTCCGTCCCTGCTCCCACCATCCCATATACAGTTGTTATGTTTCAGGGATGGGGTTTCTAAATATGTGCTAAGGAACTCCATTGTCTGTGATTAGTGTTTATTTTCCTGGCACATACACAAAAATAGATGCTCTGTCTTCATCTGCAACTCTCAGGAGCAGAGTCATTCTAAGGTCTGCATCAGCGAGTGACATTTTCCTCTGTGCCTCTTCCAGCTGCTGTTCTCCACTAGCTTCTCCAGCAAAGGGCACCAAGAACAGGGACACCTGACAGACAGAGTGTGCTCCCTGATGCTCAACAGGGTGCCCTGGCCCCCTCTTCATGGGGCTACTTTTATCTAATAGAAAACACTCCTTGCAATGATCGTGGCTGCGGGCCTCTGCTGTCCCCGCAGACCTGTGTGTTCACCCTCTCCACTTTGTGAAGTCACTCGTGAGCATTACGGATGCAATGTGGATGGGAGGAAAACTAGAGGGCCAACTTGTTTGGGTCTCCTGGACCCTGGTATACAGCTAAGAGGCCACTTGATAGTATCAGCCTTGAAACCAATGCCAGGAACTGCCACAGTTTACCAGGCCCCACCATGTGGCCTCACTAGGGGGCAGCAGGTGAACTGTATTGAGAGTCTTCTCAAGTAAATCACCAGGCCCAGAAGTGATGGGGACATCATCTGTTTCTACCAAAGCCATTGGCCTGTGGCTAACAGACAGGATGACTGTGGGGGTAGAAAGGTCAGTCTGCAGGGCAGAGTGAAGGCCGAGCTGCCCGCAGAATGGAGTCCTCCGTTGCCATGTGCAGGACCTCTCCCTCAGGGTGCTCTCCCTGACCCTCTTCCTATCCTATACCCTTGGGTACATGTAGCCTGTTTAATTATAAATCCTTTCCAAGAACATTTTTCATGATAAAAGCTCGGAGTGATACTGCTATGTAGCTATTTCTCCAGTATTCCCCAGTATTAACACTTCCAGTGGCTAAAAAGAAGTACCAGTTTTCTCACTGACATTCTTCCAATCAAGTAGTTCTCACCAGGAGCAATTCCCTTCCCACCCCCAGGGGACATTTGGCAATGTCTACAGACATTTTTGGTTGTCATCACCGGGAGCAGGGAGTGCTACTGGCTCCGAGTGGGTAGAAGCCGGGAGGATGCTCAACATTTTTCCATATCAGACTCAATAAAACTAATTTTAGTTTGAATAAAAAATGTGACGTGAAAATATTTTAACTTTCTAGAAATCTCACTCCGCCATATTACTTTTTCCATACTTTCAACTCTGTTATGACCCTCAGGTTTATAATTTTCCTATTGATCTCCAGACCCTTATATCCGAATAATACAAGATTTACATTAGAATGTCACATAAGTCTTGGACACATTAGAGCCTATCAGCTTTTCCAAGTCTTTTCCCCTAAACTTGCTTCTCTGTTTTGTTTCACTGATTTATTCAATAAGTGTGTTTATTTCTATTTAACTATAGCACATCTCTGCTAGGCTAATTGATATTTCAGGGTTAGCACATGGAAAATAGGGCTGTTGATTACCTACACCTTACCCGCACCAGCCAACCTATACCTGACGCAAGCTTTCCTGCCTT